ATGATGCATGAGAATCTATGATGAACGAAGGTGCTTGTGCATTTTTAGTTTTCTTGAATTACAAGGACTGATTGTCTTAAATGGATGTATATGTGTTCATGTACGTGTTCAAGATAATGTGTGTACCAGACACATGAGATGGAAGTTTAAGAGTTATGCATGTACATGGAAATTGAGTTAAAGTCAAAGACTCAAGTGTAGTGAGGAAATTCTTTATTCCAGTTCATAGTCATGACCAAGTAAATAATTGTGTATTGAAAGAGCAGGCATTGGATACATGTACCTATAGGTTATTCAAGGACTAAAGTACAGTACAAGTGATGCTACTGCGTTGGGTCATGAAGGACACTTGCTGCACACAAATTAATTGTACCTTTTCATGTTTTTTCAGTCATTATTAATAATCTGAATTGACATGTCATTAAAAGTCAATGAGCAAAGTTTCTGTGAAACAAAAGGTCCAAAGAAAATCTTCCTTTTCATCTCACAGCTCCGAACCTGGTAACACAATGTTTAACCGAGAATGATGTAGTTCCCGATAAAGAGTGTGATCTATTGAAACAGCATTTACGCGACGTAAAGTTTAGTAAGTTGGTTTTAAACACCGAGCAGCCTGTGAATTATACACTTTGATAGCTAGTTTGAGCCAATTTTAATTTTAGTTATAATCAAAGAACAGCAATGTTGCAGTTAATTCAGGTTGTCACCGAGCTAGTTATCGCAGTTAATGTAACCTACTTCACCTACGAATATTTAAGAATGATGTTAACGTTCAACAAATGTAAATCCTCTGTATTAAAATGGACCAAACAAATCACAAAACTGTCAAGAGTATCCTCACTGACTAAACCACAGAACCCAAACAAAACGTCAAAGACCGTCTCTGTTCAGTAGTGGCCTCGGGTGAAAGTAAGAAATACCTGGGCAAAGAATTTACCATCAAAGACATCGAATCATTAACCCCGGCAGAACAGGAAAAGCTTTTTAACCTGTACGAAGTCAAATTCGGCAAAGAAATCGTTAAAACCTTAGGTCACTCGATTTGCAGTTTATACGCGCGTTTACTAGGAATAGCTACTCTGTTGAACTTTTGGGCTTCAACGTGGACTTGAAATCTGAAGAAGCGTTAAGTAATGACTTAAACGACGACCCGATCATTAGCCAAACCATGGGACATTTTTTAAGCGAACTTTGTTTCAAGTACGGCGTGTACCTTTCACCGCTGGTAGCAACGTTAATTACGACTAAACATTTGGAGTTCGACAAAAGTCCTTTAATATTAAATCGTAGTATAAAAGAAGATGTCAACGGAAGAACAACAAACGACAACAAGTCCAGCCAAAACGCAGGTACAAACAGTGACTAAAGCTAAAACCCCAAAACGCGTAAAGCAGGGTAAAAAAATAGCCGAACATAACAAAAAGAGGAAACAACAGCCTGCTAAAATGGCGGCGTATGAACCAAGTGCAACAAGCTACGCAGACGTGCTTCATAATTTTAAAGATAACCAGTACTTGATCATGGGCGGGTTAGTTCTCGGGGAAATTTTACTAGCAAAAGAAACCCTGCCGAGTCAAAAGAACCGATTCAAACAAAACCAACGCCAAAGAAGAGCGTAGCTAGCGACCCAGAGGTTTTAGACATGGAGTGAGGTAAGTTTAAAAATACTATATAATAAAAGTAATATAACAAAAGTAATATAATAAAAATGAGTAACGCAAAATCAATTGACGCAAACGGAATCGCAAACACGATTTACCACGGTGCCGTAGTTTCTGCAGTTTCCATGGGATACACCATGTTAGGTAAAAGGCTGTTGAAAATTAAACCACCAGATTTGGATTGGTTGAGTATCGAAGACGTAGCAAAAATGACCGCGGTCGCTAGTGGTGCGTTGACTACCCAGGGGTGGCTCGTGGCGCAAGGTGTGCTGCCAGCAAGTTTGCCGACCGCTTAAAGTTTTAATCGTTTATTTTGAAGTTAAAGTAAAATGGCAGAAGGCGGATTTAATGACTTTGCAATGAATCGTTTAGATGACCAAGCTGAACCAGAAGACCCACAAGACGAAGAGGCGAGCCTACCGCAGGAAGAGACGACTTTTGTAGAAGGTCAAAGTTCAACCTTGGTAGAACCTACAGGCAATACGTTAGAAAGAGCGGGAAGAATATTTAAATTGACCCCGAAGGTAGACCCGCTTTAATATCTCTTTAAAAATGAAGGTCGAACTGACGTACCAAATTTACATGCGTACGAAAAAATTGATTATATCAATGGCGAACGTTACAACAAATCAAGCGGACCCTTCAAAGAAGTATTACTAACTAATAAAAAGCCCCAAATAAATTTGTAGCTTTATCAACGATTGGAGGTCGTGCTGGAGAAGCTCGATACAAATCTGGGGTAAATTTTATTCGAGAACTGGGCTTCACAATGTACAAGATGAAAGCTCAAGAAACAGAAAAAGAGTTAAGCAATGTGGAAAATAAATGGCCAGACAAAATAACAGACCAAACCAATCCCGACAAACTTGATCAAGCACTCGATAAAATTGAGGAAATTGCAGAAGACTACGTGCGTGACCCAAACACACGGGGTGAAAACGAAGGATATTCCATTAGAGAGCTTCTTGCGTTAGACAAAAGCTTGCAAACGATAAGAGGCCAATTACGCATTACAGAAGCTCAGATTGCAAGAGTAGAAGAGAATATTCAAATAACTAAGCATGCATTGAAAGAACCAGGTATCACACAAGAACAAAAAACCCAGAGCTTAAATTACTTAAAGATTTTTATTATGAGTTAGATGCAGTAAATAAGCAGCGAGAAATTTTAAACACGGAATTTAGAAATCAATTTCTAATGTCAAAGGAAACGATTTAAACAGCTCCAGACAAAGATTTAACTTTACGCGAACGAATTAATATTTTATTCAGAGAACAAGACGTAATGATCGGAAGCATCTTAACGGCTTTTTCACTAGCAGTAAGTACGATCGTAAGTAGCATCGTAGCTGCTGTCAGAGCTGCCAAACCTCCTAATATTACACCCAAGCCAGAACCGACCCCGACGCCTAAACCTCCGAGTAAAGGGGACGTAACGTCAAATGTGGAACTTGGCGAACGTATTGAAGAAACTTGGTGTGTCTGCTCTGTGCGCTTTGCCCGGAATCGTTGGTAGCGTTTTGAGCTGGCTCTTCAACGTGGCGAGTAAAGTGGTGGGGTGGATCGCAGAGCACATGTGGACTTTGTTTGTAGGTGTAGGTGTTTTGATTTTGACGTACGTGCAGAGGGAAAGGTAAGTAGGCAAAAAATTTAACCCCTCAAATTTGAGATTTTTTTTTACGCATTGAGTTATTTCGTTTAAGTTAAAACGTTATAAAACATAAAACCGAGACCACCTACGGCAATGACTCCTCTATTTAAAGACAGTTTTTTTCGTTGTGTTTGTCTAACGGTTTTTTCTCCTTTGGTTCCGGTTGCGTCGGTTTGGGTAAAGGTTCTGGTTGCTTTGGTTCGGGTACTTGTTCATGATTGTCTTCCACTTCAGGCTCCAAATTTAAACCCGGTATGTAACCAGTCTGCATGTTATCGGTCGCGATTTGTAATTTATTGTTGTAACCTTCAAACGCACCGATGCCTAAATCCATGTCAGAAGGCACCAGATATAACCCCGGCGCGACTACAAAGTCTAAAGGCGTTTTGGCGTATTGCAACGAATTTTGATAATTAGTAATCGTCTGATCGGGATCGGGGGTTGAATTAATTAGACTCTCTACGATCATATTAAATTCTTGCTTCGCGTCTAATCCGGTCCTTTACGATTCCCACGTCTGTTAATTTAGACTTTTTAGGAATAAAATCCCACCAAGCCAGAGTGACCGCGCCCGACTGTTGTAAAAAAGATACTTTGTATGCGGTCGGGTGATCGGAATCTATCGACTTGTATGTCAGACCCGCGTTTATCCCGCTTACTATGTGCATGTCGCATTTGTCATAATTTTTACCCGGGACTAATTTGGTTCCTGTACTTTGCTCTATTTTCGATCCTCTTCGTTGGCCGGCGATTCCACAGAGCTTGCTGCACATTTTCTAAAGGCTGCAATTTCGTCTGTGCTTAACTCGGTAAAACCGCTTCCTTTACCCGGTGTATAAAAAGCAGCTCCCAACCTGTTTGATACCTTGTCGCGAGTTTGTTTGTTTGTAGGACTTATTTGGGTGTACGTCGTACAGTAGACAAGTGCCTGCAAATATCCGATGATCGTAATTATTGTGCAACGCGTCAAATATGTTGTTGTCCGGGTTTGGCATCATGCAGTCGTAAAATATTTTTTTTGGACTGTGTAATATACGTGAAAATTGAATAAGGCGACACGTATGGATCGGGGTCAAACAGTACATCAAAAACCACGATGCAAGCCGTCGTCCCGCAATAGACCGCGAAATTAAATTGATTTTGGTAAAACGAAATTGGATCGGTAATCCAGCGATTGACAGTTTTGTTCGTGGTGACTCTCGGTAATTTATATGCGTGCTTTAAATTTGGTAACTTGGCTAAAATCGAGTTGTCTTTGTTGACTAAAGTTAGCTCCCATTTATTTTATACGTCTTTATTTGTTGCACTACGCTTAAAAGGGAGGTGCCGTTGGTTGTATTTCGTGGTACGACGGAGGGGGGTCTTCGTATTTTACTGACTTGAGAAAAATTACTCGCCAAGTTTTTTCATAAGATCTTTTTTTTTAAACAGCTGCTCTATCGTTGGCTAGCGCTCTCGCTCTTTCGTTGACTTGTCGTTCAAATTCTTCTTTGCTCGTCGATTTACTTTCTTGTAGTTTGGTAGACGTACTTGATTAGATCTTTTCTTTCATTTCATTAAACTTGTTCTGCTCGGATAAAATCAGTACAATTTTCCTGCGATATGTCACCGTCTTCAATCGCGTGTGAGACGTATTCCCCGATGGTGTTCAATTTAGCGTCTGCCAACATTCGAATTTGGTCTTGTTTTTTGGTTTTGTGAGACAGCCTGCTACTGGCGTATTTTACCAAAGCGTAGGCACCAACTGCACCGATAGCAATGCCTTCCATCACTAGTCCGACGGATGCCAACACGCTGCCCAAAAGAGCGGGAATTCCGACGGCTGCCGAGGTAGCACCTAATGCTTCTACTCCGTTCTATGCGTATCGAGTGCGGTAAGTATCTGTTTAATCTTTTTGTAGGTAGTTTTGCACGCGTCACGTTCTCTTTGGATCTGGGATTTGATTTCTTCGATCTTTCTGAGCCTGTAAACTTTAGTTTCCGCTTGTCCGGCCGATTTTAAAGTCAAATCTGGCGGTTTAGCTGTCTAGGGGTATTTTGTTAAATTGGGGTAAATGTTGGTAGTAGTCATCTTTTTATTATTAACGTTTTAAAAAATGTCTAACTCGATTAAAACCCCGTCGCCCTTGTTACCTACCGATTCACCTTTAATGTTTTTTAAAGAGAAAGTCAGCTCGCCTATGTTTCTGTCTATTAACTGTTTGTGCGTTTTATATTTTGCAATTAATTAATGATTGGCATCTAAAACGCTCAACATATCCGAAGATTTACCGTTATAAAGGCTAATACCGGTATTCAACTGGGCGAAATGAATAACCACAAATTTCAAGGGGTTTAAATCATACTTGCCTTCATTAATGACGAGGGGTAAAAGTTTAACCGCTGGCAAATCTAATAAATTAGCCTGCTGTTTATTTAGCCGCAACTTGAGGCTGGGGTTCGTAATGGCCAAAGTCACCCTCTTTGACTCGGAATGAACTTTGAAAGATAAACCCGGGATCAAATTTAACAAAAAGTCAAACCAATCCACGTTATAAAACCCAGGTTCTAATGCGATGGAACCTTTTTTACCTTCGGGTAGTGCTCGAGAATCTTGACCACGAAGCCGATCAAGGATATCCTGTGAGACGAAGTATTTTTGCCACACCTTTTAGTAATTGGTTTTGGCCCCGTTTGGGAGGGGAGGTGGGTTCGGGAAGTTTGGGTGAAGTAGGTTCGGGTGAAGTAGATTCTGGTGAAGTGGGTTCTGGTGGTGGAATGGGATCGGGAAGTTCTGGAAAGGTAGGTTCTGGCTCGGGAAACGGAGGCACAATGTTATTTCTCAACCTAGAGAGGGCAATTCTTCTAGCTTTGCGTTCTTTTTCTATTTCTAGCTCCCATTCAGCCAATTTATTGCGATTAATTTGGTCCCCAAAATAGCTTCTTGCCTCCGTAATTGCTTCTATAAATCCCCTCACTATAATGTAAATACGTTTAATTTAATTCTTTCATTTTCTGCTTCAACCACATAATCTATTGTACCGGTTTCATCTGCATCTAAAAAATCTCTAATGATTCTTTCTTTAGTGTATGGTTTTCCTCTTGTCGCCAAGTCATAGTCATTATAACGGGCGGCACTACCACCCAAGCGCGTATCCCACTCAATTCCGGCGGATTTGGTGATGTTAAAAACCCAGCTTCAAACTGTATATTCTTCACCCTAATTGCCTTGGCACCTTTCGTATTATCAATTTCGTGTTTCAATTTAACAGTCTGCAGATTTTCGGTCAAGTGAAAAGTGTGAGTCTCCATTTTATTGGATGCACGTTTAAACAATGTCGATTTCGAGTAAAATCTTACCGTCTTTGATGTTGACTTCCTCTTGCCGTTCGTTTCTCAACAAAAATTCAAAACTTGTTATTCGCTTATTTACAAGTAATAAAGCCGTACGAAGGTCGTCCGTTAAAGTAATTAAAATGGTCGTTTATTTCTCGGCAGTGTATGCAAAGCTCGTCACAAGGATTTTTTTCTTTCCCTTGTAAATCACGTTTGGCACGAGCCTACCTCTCGGCAGATTTAAAAGCTTGCCAACTTTTTTACCAACTTTAATCTGAGATTTAAACCTGTTATCATTATCGTTACCAAATTTGACTTTTCGTGAACTTAAAAACTCACACCTGGAATGGCGTTTAAAATAAAATCAAACCAATCCATGTTCTAAAACCCCGGAGGAATAATTACATTTCCCTGTTCACCACCTTGTAAAAAATCCGCGACTGTTTCTCTATTGTGAAATCGATGCATCACCAGAGCGTTTGAACCAGAACCCATGACAAAAAGAGTGGGCCTGGGTTCGGTTTGAGCGGCTCTGATGGTCCTCGTTCTTTCTTCGTTGTCGTTGCCTAAAAATCCTTCTTGAGTAAATTCTAAAGCGATGCGGCGGGCTTCTTTGTAAGTATCGACTTGGCCTTGGGATAAAAATTCGAGACCCATTAACGCATACTCTTGCTCTTTGTCTCTTGCTTCGGGCGGTGTGGAACTTGATCTTAACTGTGCATGCCGATTTATTAACGTTTATATTTGATTCTCCAGGTCATTTATTTTTTGACTAATTGAGGCACTGAATTCTTCTAAAGTCCCCCCTTCATGAGCTCATATGTAACCTCTTATCACGTCGTAAAGCAAAACCACAGTTTCTGTCTTTAATTCTGAAAACGGTACGGTCACTCCAATTGATCTTACAACGTCCATGTTGATTGTTGCATCAGGTGCCAGAGGGTTAGCCGCTCGCCTTGACTTATGCCCATCAGAAGCTCTTTTTGCGGGGCTTCCTTTGATTTGAGTTTGCCTTTCAATTTCGGTGAATTTTGTAATGTTGAAGTAACCCAGGCGAAAGCTTACTTTTCTGACTTTTATTTGTTTATCGTTTTTTCAATTGTCGATTTGTTTTTCTAATTTAAACGTCTGCTCGCTTTTGGTCAAGTAAACCTCTGAGTCTCCATTTTATTAAATACGTTTTGAAAAAATCTTGTTTGGTCAATCTATATGTTTTTAGAGATCTTTTTTAGCGAGAGTTAATTTTTTTAAAGGCGTTTTTCCAGTGCTTATCCAAAACTTGAACTAAGTATTTTACAGATTCCGTAGGTTCTTTTGTCACGTCTTGATTATGTACCGCAATTAAAGCCTTCAACGGTTTACCTCTATAGATGTTACCATCTAAAACTCGGCTTAATTTATATTCTATGGTGCCCGCTTTACCATTCTCCAATTGAACGTTAAACTCTTTTAAAGTTTTTCTCGATTTTGGTGGTGGTGGTTTTTTTCAAACGTAACGCTGATAATATTTTTGTATGAAGGAACGTATGCGTGTGAAGGAACCCACCCAAATACTAAACCACAATGTCGGCATGCATATCTGTCATCTATTTCTAATATGTAGTGCTGGCAGTGTAGTGCTGGCATGTTTTTTTCTGGTCGTGGTGGCGGGTTGGCCATTTAGGCAAAGAGCCGATTAGATGATAAATCTCTTGTTCTGTCATTGTTTTAATAATAATCTGTTCATTTCAGATAGTTCCAAACCCGTTAAAGGCGTCCATTAAAGTCGTAAATTCATTCCAATATTGCCGAGACCAGTCGCTTTGGACCCTTGATGCTTCCTCTTCTTCGTAGTACTCTTCTTCAGACTCTTCTTCACCGTTTAGATCCACCTTTGCGTTTTCGTCGATCATTAGTCCTAATTTTTCCAAACTCTTGTCTAAATCTGTTTTGGGTTTAAAGTCATCGTCTGTAATAAATGTTAGTTTTTGTTTTATAATAGCCGTCATTTCGGTTGTCAATAAATATTAAAAATTCTTGGTGTTGCAGGTCTGTACAATTTACACAACAATAGCAAGAAGAGCAATCAAAGCATTCGACACATAGTTGGCACTCGTCACAATTTTGACAGCTATCGCAAAATTGGCAATATGTGCGGTCAAAACAGTCTGTGCAATCAAAACAATAATCGACATTGAAACAATCTTCACATGAACCTTGAATGAAACTTTGAATCGTGGCAGTGTTTGCAATTAAAGCAGTCCAATAAGCTACGGCCCGCTGTAACGTCTTTGCAAAAGTGGTAATTGACGTTTCGTTCAGCCAAAACCTTTTCAAATTTATTAGTAAAATAAGTTTTCTGTTTCCTATGTCTGTTTTTATATTAGTTTCAAAAATATTTTTTTTCATTTTGCCCCCAAAATTCAGTGTTTTCCATTTCTGTCTTTTTACAGATCTCCAAAATATTTTTTCTCAGCGCTTCAGTGCAGAGAGAAGGTAGAAGTCATGAGTTAGGCCGGGCGGTTGGGAAAGCGAGGGGAAGTCCCTGTTTTGTTTGAGAGCAGAGGTTGTTTGTGCAGTAGAAGCACGGGGATTTCCCACTTCACTTACCTTGACCTTTGACCTGCGACGTCTGCACCAACCCCGGCGGAGAGGAGGAAAGGGAGTGGAGAAGGGGGTTGCGCTAGAACCGGCTCATCCCTACTACTTTTGTAATATTAAATCACGTTTACATGCCCCTCCCCCCATGCGCCCGTGAAACACCTGTTGCACACGAATTCCATATTTAAACAGAGGGTTTGTCGTCCGTTAGCTTTGACTTATATAAAAGCTGGCAAAGCTGATTGATTCTCAGTCAGTCTGTCACTGCTGTGCAAGGACGAAGGACGAAACAACAGGTAAGCCCATACATCTCGCTATTCCACCAGGTATGCAGTGATAGAAATACTGAATATTCCCTTTCAGGGTTATACATCATAAGTGGTTAAGTGCTGCCATGTTTTGCGTAAAGGCAATTTTAAAACTATGGGGGTGTCTCTCTTCATCACCAGTGCAAGATGGGCATTATTCCCAGAACGTCTCCAATGTTTGTGAGAATAGATTCTTCTGTCCTCAGCTTTTAACTCTTCTCGATGTCTGTTCAGCACTTCACCTTCTTCACAGGACCAATAAGACTATTTCAGTCAGGTCATATTCAGAGACCAGACTGTTCGCTCGTCTCCCGATGCCTTTTGTAAAATTCGGGCACTCGAAAGGACAGATGCCTGTCACAGAATCTTGTCGAGGAAAATACGTCAAAATTCCTAAGCACAGAGCTTAAGCGAGCTAAGCGAGACCTGAGGTCAGTCCTAGTCATGTACATTCAGGGCACACGTCGTGTCATGTGCACGCGGAAGTTTTGACCATAATGCATTTGTCCTTCCCCGGTGAGCGATAGGGATAACCGAGCATTGACTGTTCTCGCAAGTCGGATGACACTTCCAGAGCTCCGTAAAAAGAAGAGCTCTCGGTGGATCCCAGGTTCTCCCCTGTCAATTTCGCCCCTGTCGTATGCAGAGCTTGAAAGAAAAGGAAAGAGG